CCCCCCCCGGACACCGCGCTCCCAGTTCACGTTTCTCCTCCGATAACGTAAGGTCGCTCATCATCCTGGGCCCGCGAGCGGGGCAAGGGGGGGGGAGCACCTCGTGGAGGGGATACAGGGAGCGGGAGCACCTCAGGGAAGGGATGGGGAGGGGGTACGGGGAGGGGAAGCACAGCAGCGATTCGGAGGCACGGGGCCGTGGGGCCGTGGGGTCGCGGGGACCTCAGTACACCGTGGGACGGGCTCCGCCCTCCCCCTTGTCCCCCGCCGCGCCCTCCGCGGGTCCCGACCACCCAGGCCCGCAGCCCGCAGGCCGGCGCCCCGCGCTACCTGAACGCGCAGTCGGGGTCGCGGGCGTCTCTGCCCGCCGCACCCAGCCCGCTCCTCTTGCTGAAGAGCTTCTGGAACAGCGTCGGGGCCATGCCGCCGTCCCCCGGGTCGCTCGACTGGGCGCTCGCTGCGGCCCCGCTCCTACGGCCCCGCCACCCCCATGGGCTCCTCAGTCATATGACAGAAATTAGTCACTTCAAACGGCCACGGCGCGCGGGGCGGAGCGCGAGGCCCGGCCGGCGGGGATTGGCTGGCGGCAAGCCGCGTCATGTGGCGGCGCGGGGGGCGGGGCTAGCTGCCATTGGCTGGCCAGCGGATCCGTCACGCGGCAGCTCCCGGGGCGGGGTGTCGGCGCGGGGTTACAGAGGGGCGAGGCGGGGCGGATGGCAGGGCCGCTAGGTTGGTCTCCCGCAGTCTGTCTCCGGAAGAGCTCTCGAGGGGAGGCTCTGCAGTTAGACTGTTTCCTTGGTAACCAACAAAATAGCCAGCGAAGCCGAGGGAGGCTGCAGCCCCAAAGCAGGCACCCATCTAAAAATATCTACCCCTTCGAGCTAATGCCTAGAACGTGATGCGCTGTGGGTGGAGGGCTGGACTGGAGCTCCAGGCCCCGGGTCGCTTCCACCGCACCACACAGTCTTCCTTTAAGTAAAAACTAGATCTTAATATCTAGATATGGGGAAAAGGGGAAGTGTGCACTGTAACCAGACAACAGACTGCACCTTCCGAAAAAGAAAACGGCGTGTAGTCGACCGTCCACTAAAACGTCAGGGTGCAGAGCTAACTCGTCGTGTGGCGCTTGGCATCCCCACCCATTTACCCACGACCCCAACAGGATGAAGAATTTTGTGCAGTGGAATGCAGTTCTGAGAAATGTGGACGTCTGGAAATCACTGGTATATGCTTTGAAGGCTAAATAAAACTGAGAATTTCATTTAGAGACATAAAATCTCAAGTGGTTACCGACTCTGATTTGTCGTTCAAGCTGTAGATAACTTACCTCTAATGTAGAAAATGCCAGAATTTTTAGCTAATAATTTGTCAATGGTTGTTGAGTTCTAATGTTACAAGTTGTTTTTTTTATGTGGTTTTTTTTTTTGTGGCTTTCTGGTTGTTTTTTGGGTTTTTTTTGAAAGGAGTTCTCCTTCTGGCCTGCATCTTGTAGCTGGTGTCTCTATGCCCCGCCTTTGTTAAGTGGATTCTGGGGACTGAACTCAGTTTCTCATACTTCCATTGCAAGCACCTTACCAACTGAGCTATCTCCGTCTAGCTTTTCCAAGTTGTTGTTTATGTGGGTTTTTTTGACAGGGGTTCTTGCTGGTACACAGGCTGGTCTTTAAAAGCTCTCTATCCTGTCTCCACCTCACAAGTACACAGACTTTTAAAAGCACTAATTGTAGATGATTAAGAAATAAATACATTGATTCTACAAACATCTAAGTTCTGGAGGTCAACAGGGTTTTTAAAGGCTAATTTTAGGCAAGAAGATTGTAAATAAGGTAGTTTCAGATAGTAGTGTTGTAAAATTAATACAAACTAAATAATGAAATGAGGGCATAGGGAAGGTCTTTCTGAGAAGGTTAATATTTGTAGTACATAGATTAAATTTCATTCAAAGGTCCTTTATAAGTTGCCCTAGTACTGGGAAATACAATTCCAAATAGGAGGCCTACATTGCCTACATATTTTGGATGATCCTTTCAACTCTAGCACAAACACTGAACAATTTTTAGTAAGTGACCTATGTATATTTTTCAAACAAAATATTTGAAAGTAAAGTGACATTTTTGTAAATAAATGAAGTCCATGCAGTTTTTCTTTTGGGGAATTTTGTTTTGCTTTGCTTATTTTTTGAGACAGAATTTCCCTGTTTGCAATATACACCAGGCTGGCCTCAATCTCACAGAGATCCACCTGCCTCTGCCTTCGGAGCACTGGGATTAAAGGCATGCACCACCATGCCCAGCCTCCATGTAGTTTATGTGAAAATATGTTCATCTGAAGAGTGAGTGAGTCATTTGCCGAAGTTTCTTTTTTACACAGATGAAATGAGTGTGAGCAGAAGCAGGCTTGCCTTCGGCATAACACCAAAGACACTAAGGACAAGGGCTGTCCACAGCTGGCACAGAGTCTGTCCAGGCTTCCTTGGAAGGAAGTTTCCAAATACAATAACCTTGTGTGCCTTCATCTTGGGAAAAATTACTTCATGGGTAATCATAGATATTAATAGTAAGGGAAACATTACTGCTTGCATAAGAGGTCATTATTTTAGTGTTCTCTCATCGTTTAGTGGCTTCATTTATGTATCCTCAGTCTTGTACTTGAAAGGACAGAGAAAACCAAACATTTGCTCTCATACATCCCATTTCCCCTACACTGGAGCACAGTACTAAACTAACAGAATAAAAAACATTAAAATAATACAAACATAGTAAAGACAGTTAAATACTTTTGAGATCGGTACCAACATATTATCTTATCCCCTTTTATTTAGTACTGTCTTGTCACAGAGAAACTGGGATGTCTTGTAAGCAACCTCTAAGTTTAGGGAATAAACAAGGGGGAAGTGAAAGAAAGAACAGTTGCCCAGTTAGGAATATTATATACAAGTCCCACACTTTTACCCATGAACAGAAGAGTCAGCCTCTCCCAACCCCCAAAGTTTATGATCTGCCACCTGCTTGAAGATCACCCTCCTGAAAACGTGAACAGCAGGGGCAGTTTTCATAGTGACAATAGACCTATAACCTTGCTTCTTTAATTTCTATACTAGTAAATACTGATCCAATTGTACTAATTTATTCTTAAACAAATTCAAACTCACTAATTAACATATTAATAATTATTATACTTACACAGATTCAGGGCCCTCAGTTTTAAAAACATTTTTATGTGTATGAGTGTTATGCCTGAATGTATATAAGTGCACCCATGTTGTGCAGTGCCCATGGAGGACAGAAGAGGGCATCGGATCCCTTGGAACTGGAGTTATGATCAGTTGTTAGCTGCCATGGGATTCAAACCTGGGTCTTCTGCAAGAACAGCCAGTGCTCTTAACTGCTGAACCAATTCTCCAGCACTAGTTTTTTAAACTCTTAAACCAATCATTTACAGCTGCGTACTAAGGCAGTGGTAGTGGTTTGAAGCTCTGGAAAGCACAAATATTGATTTATTCAACAAATGTCCCATAAGTCCTTCCTAGGTGTCAGCCTGTTTTAAGTACTGGGAATATGGAGTTTGAATAAGGGAGTCCCTATTTGGGGGAATTTATGTTCGTAGTGGGAGAAAATAAAAATATCTGCAAGCTGTGATAGAAGCTACAAAAGAAATAACTGACAGAAAGTAACTGTAGTCCCAATTTAAATAGGGTCATTAGGGAAGGCCACCCCAAAGATACAGGATTTGAGCTGGTCTAAAGAATTTAGGAGCCAGACATGGAAGAAGTAAAGAACATTCTGAGAGAAAACAGACAAACTACAGAGGCTTGGCAGAAGCAGTAGGTTTGGCCTTTTTGAAGAAGAGCAAGGAGGCCAGAAAGAGCATACTCAGAGAGGAATAGTTTCAATGTGGTTAGAAAAGTAGTGAGCCACGTTGTATAAATAGAGTTTTGTAAGTCATGGGAAGGAGGTTAAGAGTGATGGGAGCAGGCTGGTGATGGATCTCAGTGGTATAGTGCTTATCCTACAGGTGTTAGGTCTTGGGTTCAATCCCAGCACCACACACACGAGAGAGTAATATGGGAGCTTTGTGCCCTAATTAAACAAGAAAAATATGGGAAAAATAACAAAAAAAAAGATGAGAAAGTAGAAGAGTTGTTGAGAAGGAGGAGCTCAGCAGGAGTGGGAGGGGGAAGAAAGGGTGGGTGGAAAAGGCCAAATGATATCATATACAAATATAAAATTGGCAATAAGAAATAAAAAAGGCCAGGCATGGTGGCTCACGCCTTTAATCCCAGCACTCAGGAGGCAGGGGCAGGCGGATCTCTGTGAGTTCAAGGACAGCCTGGTCTACATAGTGAGTTCCAGGACAGCTGGGGCTACAGGGAGACCCTGTCTCAAAAAGACCAAAAAGAAAAAAAAAAAGAAATATGAGCAATAGCAGCTATTGAAGGTTAAAATAGGAGAGGGACATGATTCAATTTGAGTTTACTCTAGCTATTATGTGGAAAAGGGATTATTAGAAGAGGAAGAATGGGAGAAAAGAAACAAAATAGTAGATTCTTGTATTTGGAGGAGCACTGATGGTGGCTAACTGGAAGAAATTCTAACAGAAATGCCAAAGATGATGCCAACATTTTTCTTGAGAAACTTTACTGCCTGAGTAAAAGAGCAGGAAAATAAGGTTTGAGCAGGAAAAGCAAGCACATTAAGTTTAGATATATTGTTTGAATTGCCTGTTAGATACCCATGTGGAAGTTTTGAGAATATATGGAGAGAAACCAGGATTGGGGGAAAGAAATTTGGGAGGGTCAGTCATACAATTTAGCTCTTCCTAGAGAAAAATGTGCATACTCGAAAAAGAGTCAAGGAAGGAGAGAGAGCAATTCTCAAAGTCTGGAAGAAGAGGACCCAACAGAAGAATGAAAAGAGAAGGAAATGTCCTCCAATGAGGACTGTGTAGACTGAGTTGAATGCTACTGAACATGTAAGTGTGCATTCAATTGCAACACGGGTATTGGCAAGTGTTTGAGAGGAATATGTGAAACAAAGCCTGCGTGGAGTGAGTTCAAAAAAGAGAGGGCAGAGAGGAAATGGCAAAGCTGGTACAGTTATTCTGCTTGACTGAAACAGAGAGCAGAGAAGAAACAGAAGAGAAAATTAGGTTTCTTTTTCCTTATTTTTATTTTTGGTGTTTTTTTCAAACAGGGTCTCCCTGTAGCCCCAGCTGCCCTGGAACTCACTATGTAGCGGAAGCTGGCCTTGAATTCAGAGACATTGCCTGCCTCTGTCTCCCGAGTGCAGGGACTACAGGGACGCACCATCACACTCAGCTTAGGCTTCTTTTTCTTTTTAAAAATATTTTATTATTTTATGTGTATGCATGTATTGCCTGCATGTAGTTAGTGCACCCGTGTCATGCAATGCCCATGGACGACAGAAGAGGCTGTTGGATCCCCTGGTACTGGAGTTACGGACAGTCGTTAGCTGTCATGTGGGTGCTGGGATTCAAACCTGGGTCTTCTGCAACAACAACCAGTGTTCTTAACAGCTGAGCCATCTCTCCAGCCCTAGGTTTCTTTTACTTAAGATGGGAGATCATATAGAATTTTGTGTTAAAAGCAATCTAATATATTATTAATTTAAATAAATAAAATACGGTTTCAAAGTCTAAGAATACAATAATAAGCAAGACAGACAAAAGCCCTGCCCTTAAGAAACAGCACAGAGGATTCGAGAGATGGCTCAGTGGTTAAGATCACTGACTGCTGTTGCAGAGGACCTGGGTTCAGTTCCCAGCACCTACATGGCAGCTAAAAATCAACCTTAACTCTAGTTTCAGGGGATCTGATGCTCTTCTGATCTCTGTGGGCATTGCACAACATGAGTGCAATTACATATGTGCAGGTAACACACTCATATACAAAAAAGTAAAGTAATGAAAAATAGCATTAAGGAGGCCAGGTATGGTGATGTATTGCTTTAACCCAATACTCAGGAGGTAGAGGCAGGTGGTTCTCTGTAAGTCTGAGTCCAGCTTGGTCTACCCAGCAGGTTTCACAACAGCCGGTGAGATCTTGACCAAAAAAAAAAAAAAAAAAATCATTAAGGAGATTGCTAGTAGCCTTGAGAACAGTATCAGTGGAGAACAGATGTTGGAAGCAGACTGTGTACGTGTGTGCATGTGAGTGTGTATGCCACCAGTGTGCAGGTGCCCCCAGAGGCCAGAGGACTGTATAAGATCCTCTGGAGTGTGAGCTGCCCAATGTGGGTCCTGGGAACTCACTTCCTCTGGCAGAACAGGAAGTGCTCTTAACTGCTGAGCCATTTCTCCAGTCCCTTAACTGGATTTTTAAAAGGGAAGCCTGAGATTATTTTGTATGAGGTATAATTTGAATATAATTTAAATGAATACAATTAATTTTAATTAGTTATGAGACAAAAGGGTCCAGGTCCTTTCAGTGCTGGGGATAGAACTTAAGGGCCTTGCATATGTTAGGCAAGCACTGTGCCACTGAGCTACATGTATCACCAGACCTTTTTAAATTTTATTCTGAGACAAGGTCTCACTGAGTTGCATAGGCTGCCCTGAAACTCTCAACCTGTGTACCCCAGCCTTCTCAGTAGGTGGATTGCAAGTGTGTGCCATCACACTGTGCTAGTTGTTACATTATGGAATCACTTAAAAACATTGTGAAAACAGTGGAGACCTCTCTCCGTGAAGAAATGAACTCCTTTTGTTTTTCATATTCTTCCAGGGAGGTTTACTGAAAGACACAGGTCTAGGTTAAGAGTACACTCGTCTCCTAGGATATGTCAACAAGATCCTATCTGCTAGCCAGCAAGCCCCCTCTGCTTTTCCTCCTCTTAATCATAATTAAGGTATGTCCTCTACTTCAAAACCTTGACTGTCAGCTCTAACTTGCTGTCCTTCTCCTTGTTCCCTGTGCTAGAAAACAAAGAATACTGCACGGGAATAGTTCTGCCTTCTAACCCTAGCATCTATGGCTTTCTAAATTATATTACACTGGCCAAGTATTAACCTCTCTGAGCTAGTTCTATCTTCCTTATTAGCAATACAAAACAACCAAATATGTATGCCCTCTAACCCCTCCAGGCCCAATCTATAAATCAAGCATCATTGTTTCTCACAAGACCTTACCTGATTAGAAACTAGCAAATAGTCCATTCTTTTCCCTCCTTGGATTATAAATCCTGTGAAGCAGGAAACAGACCTCCTGGTCATTTCTTACTCTCTTCCTGCTTATCCCATTTCTACTTTTAAAACCATCACAAGAGTTGATGACTTGGTTTAATGGTGATTTAGAAAATAGGTCTAAGAGTGTTGTATCCTCCATTACTAACATTATTTTCTACATTTCCATATTTCACCTTCAGATGAAGTCAGAGTCAAAAATAGCCTCACTGGTGGCTTAAAACCTCATCAAATCTTTTACAAGAATGTCTTCACAGGACTTCTATTTAAAAATAAATACTGAGCTATAGATTAATTAGGTTTCATGGTTTCCCTTGATACTGAAGCAGCTTTGAAACTTTGGTTCTTATATTTATATGTAACACTAGTCAAAACAACAGGGCTAAAAGCTCACCAGATTATACAACTGTACTGTGCCCATTGACAACAGGATTATTGTTTTCTTAGGATTGGGAACTGTCTATATGCCACAAGTTAAATTATGAAAACACTAGTAATAATCCTACAGATGGTATTGTATTAAAGTTTATTTGAAAACGAGCTAAATTATTAAATATGTAGGGTATGACTGACTGTACATATTATATATTCCCTGCTTCAGCAATTCTTGAGTATAGAGTTTCTTTTAGTCAGACCTGGAATTAGGTCTCTCACTCATGTGGTTTCAATTAAGTTCTGTTAAAAATAGCTTGTAATATAATCATTTTCATTTTTAGCACTTCAACAACTTTACTGCTTTTGATCCCTACAAAGGACAGACTTTGGGGACAAAAAGGAAGTCATATAGTACCTTAATGCCAGCTCTTTGTACACAGAAAACCATGTATTTTAGTATATAGTCTTCCAATAACAGCTAATTGGTTCACATTTTAGGAAGTTCAAATATTCCTGATGTGATGGCACACACATTTAATCCCAGCACTGGGGGGCACAGGCAGGCACATCTCTATGAGACTGAGGCCAACCTGGTCTACATAGTGAATTCCAGATTAGCTGGGGCTATAGGGAAACCCTGTCTGAAAACAAAAACAAGTACAAATACATATATTTAAGAAGCATATAGAGAATGTTTTTCTTAACTGACTAAAAGCAGAAGACAAGAACACCAATAGAATTTCCACAGTTTTATCACAAATAGACAATTTTTCATTTTTAATTTCATATAATTTCAGGTAGACATTCTGCTTATATGACTTTTGACTTCACATTCATATCTTCAAAGCAGTGAAAATTCACCACAGCTGTTATGTTCTACCATTTGTCTTCATTATAATATCTAGAGAAAATATAAAATATTTCAGAGAAGCAAGTATTCAACAACTATTGAGAACCAATTCCTAAGCCAGGTGTGGTGGTACATGCCTTTAATCCCAGCACTCAGGAGGCAGAGGCAGGCGGATCTCTGTGAGTTCAAGGCCAGCCTGGTCTGCATAGTGAATTCCAGGCCAGCTGGGGCTACAGGGAGACTCTGTCTCAAAAACCCCGGAAAAAAAAATTCCTGAGGGTAAGAGCTTCATTGCTTCCTCAAAATGCTGGTGACAATTCTTTTTGGAGGTACCAGAACACCTGCTCAATAACATTCTAAGGAAAGCCTGACAAAGACTGCTAGTGCGGCCTTCTCAGGCCTGGCCTTGTGACCCAGAGGAACTGGGCCAGTTGTGTTCCCAGGCAGAACCCCTCACACTTCCCCATGTACCACTGCTCTGCATTCCCCCACTTCTTGTTGCAGCTGAGCCCACTTTCTTCCCCAACACAGCATTATCGGGCCTCTCCCCCAGGTCTTATACCAAGAGATCCAGGATGGGGACAGCATTGCAGGTTCCCATTGTCACCTTCACATTATGATACATCTTGCCCCCAGCCTAATTAGACTAGACTGATGGTAGAATCACCTGAGATTTTAAAAATCCTGCTACCTAAGTCATACTCCATGCCCATGAGAATCTTTGTGTGGGGCCCAAATACCAAACAACCAGGAAAATGTGACACGTGGCTCAGTTTGTAGACCAGAGATTCATCTTTGTTATTCAAAGTGGGGTCCAGACCAGGGACTAGTGACATCAGCATCATCTAAAATACTGTTAGAAATGTAGGGTCTGTGGTACTATTCTTAATCTACTGGAGGAAAATCTCCATCTTAGTATGGCCTTCACATGGTTCACAGATGGGTTAAAGTTGGGGAAGCCACCTTCACTACCTTCTACTTCTCGTGTTGATTTACTCACCTGATCCTATCTACCTACCTATGAAAGACTTCACAGCTACTCTTCCAACAGGAGCTTCTGGGCAACTTCCCCAGTGTGCAGTCGGCCCACCCAACTACCTAGCTTCACCTTCCCTTGGCCTTTGCAACCTTCATATGGACATCTAGGGCCATGACCTTTATATCCCCAGTCATGATCTATAAAGCCTTGCTTTTGGGACTCAGTACTCCTAGAGAACTGGGAATCATCTAATCATCCTTTCCTGCTACCCCACACTAGTACCTAATCACTAATTCCTACCCTCTGTGCCAATACATTTTCTTAGTTTAGACTGGTTCTCAAACTCACATCTCTTGAATCAAAGCAGAGGCAATAACCTGAGAATTCTCCAGAGGCAGCACACTTTGAGATACACTAGCCCAGGGTTTATTTCCTCAGCTTTGTTCACAAGGAGCCTTACAAAGCTTACATCTAGCTAGCCTTTCTACTTCCAGTTCATTTCTTTTCAAATCATCTCCATACTTCTTGACAGAATTATCAAAAAAAGTACAATTGACCAGAATAAGATAAAATTGAACATGTCATCAGAGGTTCTGTGACATCTGCCTTCCCAAGGATAATCCAACCCTCAGTTTTTAGAAAGGCCAATCTTTATGGGTGCCAGACATAATTAATTTCAATTCTTTATCTGAGAGAGCTTTAGTATATTTTATACTAGTACCTCTGGAAAGGCCTATGCTCAAGATGTTTCTGTGGGCCTTAGATCACCCTCCAGAGGAATTTCCATCTTCCCTGCATACCCTAAAAGAACCCTATATGTGCTGGGCGTGGTGGTGCATGCCTTTAATCCCAGCACTTGGGAGGCAGAGGCAGGTGATCCACAAGGCAGCAAGACTGAGACCAGCCTGGTCTACATAGTGAGTTCCAGGTCAGCTGAGGCTACAGGGGACCCTGTCTCAAAAAAAAAAAAAAAAAAAAAAAGAGAGAGACCAAACCAAACCAAGCCCCCACCCAAAACATAGCACACACACCCCATTGGATTTGTTTTTATCTAATTTCTTCTATCAGATTATAAACTATCTAAAAGGGGAAACTCTATCATTATCTCCAGCAATTAACTGCATCTGGACCATAACATCCAGACTCAATATTTCCTGAATGATTAAGCTAACTACAAGACTTCATCTTTTCATTTAACAGAAACATGTCAACAAAACAATAGGCTTAAGGCCTGGATAGATGGCTCAGCTGTTAGGAGCACTGGCTGCTCTTGCAGAGGACCTGGGTTGAATTCCCAGCACCCATATGGTGGCTAATAATCGTCCATAACTCCAGTTCCAGGGGATCCAATGCTCTCTTCTGACCTCAATGGGCATTGAAAGACATGGGTGCACTTACATACATGCAGGCAATACACTCATACACATAAAATAAAAATAATAAACAAAATATTTAAAAAAGGCTTTAAAAAGTCTTTATGGTATCAGACTGTTACTTCTTTTCCCCTAATTTACCTCTGCATTTATCCTAGGTCAATATGTCTGTGTCAAAGACTATACACACTGTAAAATTATTCTTCATGTGAAAGAGCATAATCAAATTTACCATCAAATCTAGCAACAACTCTACATAGTTTGGTCTTTTTTGCAATTTAACCAAAACGAAGAAACAGTTTTCAAAAGAAAGATGTAGGCTAGACTTAAGAAAGTAATCCAACATATAAAATCAAATCATTATTGCATAGTAAAAGATTTCTTCTGGCCACTGAGCTATAACCCCAGGCTTCATAATGAATGATTATTATGTGTCAGATACCTTAGGTAGCTTACCTATAATCCTCACAGTTTTTTGATGTAACAACTACTATTTTATCAATTTGACAGATAGCACACTAGAATTATTTCCACCTCACTTGTCATGTGTCTGTAAGACTTCTCACTGCTGTCACTGTCTAAAATCTCAAGCGTCTTAGAGATATAGATGTAGATGCAGATAAAGATACAGGTTCAAAGGCTTAAAGTGTCCTCTTCTAGGATCACATACGTTCTAGTTCTGATTTGGTTGGTAATTAGCTGTGTGAGCTTGGTAGAATGAGAAAAAATAGAATTTATATGGTTCTCAAATTTTAGTGTTTATCAGAATCACTTTGAGAGTTCAACATATTTCAGATTCCTGTGCCTTATCTCTAACAACAACAGTTCAGCAGGTTTTCAGTTATTCTGGTGTAGGTGGTCAGAGGACTACCACTAAGAGATGTTGACCTGGAAATTTTCTACGACTTCTTCTATCAGCCAGTATTTTCAGATCCCTGTTTACCATACTCCCTCCTCTGGCACATCTCTTGGTTCATTTTAACCAAGTACTAGACATAGTACTTTAATCAACATAGTACTAGTTGCTGTTCAGTCATACTAGACACGGTCCTAGACCATCAAAATGAACTTCACACTGTAGCCCTGATTAGATTACTGCCAAACAAGCTAAAACTTTAAATGCCAGTGCTAAGAATAGGCTGTTGCATATTTAAAATAGCATGATCACAAGTTAGCTTGGTGCTTTGCTATTTTTACTAAAGGAAAGGCAGAGACAAATGTCCAGAGGTTGAAGGGCAATCACTTAGGTGAGGAGGCTGCTTTTAGGCTAAGAGCCTAGAAAGAATCCAGAAGATGGCAGCATAAGCTCAACATTCACCAAGGGGTCTCTAAAACTACCAACTGTGAACATCGAACCTACATTTTGTTGGAGTTTGTTGCATACTTAAACCAAAAACTTTTGACAAAACTGATGTCATAAATATGACAAACCAAAAATGATAAAATTAAGAATTTGCCTATTTATTTATTTTAATATTTTATTTATTTTATTTTATGTGTATATTTCCTGCATGTTATGGACAGTTGTCAGCCATCATGTGAGTGCTGGGAATTGAACCCGGGTTCTCTGCAAGACCAGCCAGTGCTCTTAACAATTGAGCCATATCTCCAGCCCCCGCCTATTTTATTTTTTAAAGTTTTTATTAGTATATATAAACAAAAAGGACTTATACATGTACAGCTTGAAGGTTTTTCACAAACATAAGACACTCATGTAACCAGTAACCTAAAAATACCCATAATACTTTCATCCAGGTGATACTTTCACTCCAGTAAGGACAGTCACTCTCCTTTTCTTTAGAGTGTAGTTTGCTTGGTCAGTGTTATACACATATCATAATAATAAATGTATCTTACTGTATCTGGTACCTTATGTGAGGTTTATTAATATGATCCAACATAACAGTTGCACCTAACTCTTTGCCATTTGTTTCTGCTACATAGTATTTGAAAGAATATACCACAATTTATTCTATTTGAAGTGCATTTGACTTGTTTATATTTGGGATTATCTTGAATAGTGAATATTCTAGTATTTGCCTTTTGATGAACATAGACATATCACTGCTGGGTATATTCCTAGAAGTGGAATTGTTGGGTCACTAGGCTCTCCCATTTCAGTGAGATTTTCTAGGGGCCCAGTGCTATGGGAGATACCTCCTAAAGTGAGGACTAAATTGCTACATCTGGGCCCTTTTCAAACCAGAAAGAAGTATAACCCTTTGTGGGCCATTATGGATTTTGTTGTCAACATCTATCTCATTTGGGTGTACTCATTTACCAAGTGACCAGAAAAGCTACTAGACTTAGCAAGAGGCCCAGAACAAGAGAAGGCTCCATGACAGGTCCAGGCTATGCTACAAGATGCTCCAACACTTGTACTATATGGTCCAGTATACCCAGTGCTGTTAAAGTGTCAGTGGCAGATGGAGATTCTGTTTGGAGCCTTTATCAGGCTCTTAGTGGTGAATCACAATATGAAGCCTTAGGATTTTGGAGTAAAACCCAGCTATCCTCATGTATAAATACTCAAATGCTGTCAAATAGCATTTAGACTCTTGCTGGGTCATACCTATGTGTTATCTGACCTAACAAGCCATAAAGTTGGTGTTAAGATCAGGACTTTATTGCCAGATGAAAGTGGTATGTATACAACTGGATTTGAGCATGCACTAAAGGCACAAGTAGGTAATGTGAAGAAGTCATGCAAATACCAAAGCCATTTACTTTAGCTGCTTTGCCTTCTCCCATCCAGTCTGCACTTAAGAAAACATGGGGAACACTCTACAGTCAACTGACTAAGGGAAAGAAAAGGTTTAGTTTACAAATTGTTTAGCCCCTCTGACAGACCTCTGAAGGAAAGAGTGAAGAGAAATCTTCCCCATGGGCAGAACTTTGAGAAGTATACCTGTTTTTTTTTTGCTTAATTGGAAGGATAAAAAACCATTTATTGAATTATATACCAGTTCATAGGTGGTAGTCAATGATTTGGACAGATGGTCAAAGACCTGTAAGGTATATGATTAGAAAATTGATGAAAAGGATACTTTAGAAGAGGCATTGTATAAATTCTCTAAATGGGAAAAAGCATGAAGGTGCTTGTAAGACATAAATATATACCAAAACATAGCCTCAGCAGAAGGGGATTGTAATCAAGTGGTTAGGATAACCAATTCTTATGGGTATCAGTTGGTCTCTTTCCCCAGCAAACTCTGTTAGAACAAGGGGCTAGAAAGACCCCGACTAGTACCCTTTGTCCTCAGTACATAAACAAAGTGATAAGGTGGCAGGGAGCACAGGCTCAGCACAGGCCTAGCTGGCATTCATATGGCAGTAGTCCTTGTAGTGCTCGGTTGGCAAGGTAGCAAATTGACTTATTAAACCAATTAAAAAAAATATTTTATTAGCTGGGCATGGTGGCACACACCTGTAGTACCAGCACTTGGGAGGCAGAGGCAGGAGGATCTCTGTGAGTTCAAGGCCAGCCTGGTCTACATAGTGAGTTCCAGGACAGCTGGGGCTACAGGGAGACCCTGCTTCAAAAAGACAAAAAAATTATTATTTTTATTTTATGTGTGTGAGTGCATTGCCTCCATGTAGGGAGGTATACCTGTGTCATGCAATGTCCATGGTGGTCAGAAGAGGGCGTCAGATCTCCTGGAACTGGAATTATGGACAATTATTAGCTGCCATATAGGTGCTGGGAATCAAACCTGGGTCCTCTGCAAGAGCAGCCAGTGCTCTTAAACTTTGAGTCATCTCACCAGCCCTCATTAAACCAATCCTATCACAAAAAAGAGTATTTTATTCCCGCCGAACACTCTGGATATGGATTCTTTTTTACAATGCTTCTGCCAAAGCTGCTGCACATGAATTATGGATTGCTTTATAGAATCACACACACACACACACACACACACACACACACACACACACACATCCGGTCAACCTGGTCTACATAGCAAATTCCAGGCCAGCTGGGGCTATAGGGAGACCCTGACTCAAAAAGACCAAAATAAATAAATAAACACAATTGAAATGAAATAAAAATAGAAAATTTCAGACTGCCAAAAGAGGAACTATTCTAGGTAAATGCATTTTAATTCAATGTCAGGAGCTAATTTTTCAAAAGATGAAGTATATGTCTTCAAAAAATTATTTTACTCAGCTTCTGAAACCTCTCCGGAATCCAAGCTCCTTGCCTAATGCCAGGTAAGTTGTCTCCACCAGTCCCCACCACAGCACCACCACCCCCTTTTGGTCTTTTTGAGTCAGGGTCTCCCTTTTGTCCCAGCCGGTCTGGAACTCACTATGTAGACCAGGCTGCCCTTGAACTCACAGAGATCCACCTGCCTCTGCCTCTCCAGTGCTGGGATTAAAGGCATGCGCCATCATGCCCAGTGGAATTCAAGTTATAAATGAATTTCCTATATAATGAAAAAGTTTTATATAATCTAAAAATATACTCTTAATTCATACCTCTGAATTCAAAGTACAGTACCTTGAGTATCTTTAGGAAGAGAATATTTCTTCTTTACAGTGATACCTTTATTTTTCATTTGTCTAGTTCCTGGTGATGCCCTAATAATACAACAAATTTCTGGTGTATTTGAAGGAAACTGAAAAGGAAAAAAGTAATTATTATATAATTCCCCAAGGTATTTTGTTATTTTATTTCAAATATAAGTCTCAATATTCATATTTTATATATGTTAATAATACCAAGTATTTGTTAAGTGTTAACTATACCCAGACACTGATTGGTTTTAAAATATTTACTCATAAGCTGGGCATGGTGGTGCACGCCTTTAATCCCAGCACTTGGGAGGCAGAGACAGGTGGATCTCTGTGAGTTCAAGGCCAGCCTGGTCTACATAGTGAGTTCCAGGACAGCTGGGGCTACAGGGAGACCTTGTCTCAAAAAGACAAAAAAAAAAAAATTTACTCACTTAATATAAGCACCAAGCAAGACAAATCAGATTATCTCTATTTTACAAAAGAAGAAACTTAGCTTCAAAGACATATGATAACAGCAACAGAAAGCAAGTAAGGATAGAGTTTAAATTCAAACACTGTTAGTAGGAGAGAAAGTCTGCATGATTTATTGAGTCAAGGCACAAGTTTAAATATAATTTTGAGTCAAACATTAGATTCCATGATTTCTCAGGTAATTTAGATAATTGTCCATCAAGTAGGCTCTAGAATGAAGAAATAACTATGTGTCTCAGAAGTGACATATCTTGTTTGTCATAACTCAGAAGTGAGATGTTTATTTATTTACCAAAAACTCCTCCCATTTAAAATGAAGTCTATGTGGAAACCTCTTATATTTAGAAAAATCCGTATTACCTTCTGTGGTAGATTTCTGATGTTTTCTGCCCATTTTCCATTCTTATGGTATTTGGGAGGATTTATCCACTCTACTAATCTGTACCTATTTTTTATGGGTTGGGATGAAATGGATAATACTTCTGAATTCCACAGTAACCTTAAGCCCCAGCCTATCAAACCACTATCTTCATGACAGATCAGGCTCAGACAAGGACAAGTGGGAAGAAGAGGATTCTGAACCTGAGATTCTGGCAAAAAACAAAAACAAAAACCCCCCAAAACAAAAAACAAACAAACAAAAAAGCATCCTTGAAGTAGCAAGAATGCTCCCACATTAATCCCAGCTCTAGCTACAGCTAATGTAGCAGAAACACATAAATACTTATAGAAGGATGGGATCCCCCGACTTAGACCTATGGATTCCTACCAAATAAAATCAAATAAATAAATTATTGAGTTTATGGTCAAGATCATGAACAGGGTCAGTGCCAGAATTGTTCTTCAAGATTCAGCACAGAAAAGTTCTGGGAAGAAATTAATGAAATACATTCCACCTATCAGAATTTCATTATAATCAAAATGAAGGAATAGTCAAACTTATAAGAAATCAAAGTGCCAAGCCGTGCCTGGTGGCACATGCCTTTAGTCCCAGCACTCTGGAGGCAGAGGCAGGAGTATCTCTGAGTTCAAGGCCAGTCTGGTCTAAGAGCACTGACTGTTCTCGCAGAGGACCGACCAGGGTTTGAGTCCCAGCACCCACATAGCTGCTACGACTGTCCTTGACTCCAGTTCCAGGGGAATCTGAAGCCCTCTTCTGACCTCTGAGGCATTGCACGACACGGGTGCACTCACATACATGCAGGCAATACACTCGTACACATAAAAAAAGAAAAAAAAAAGTTTTGAAATGGGCGTGGTGGCACACGCCTGATCTATGTAGTGAGTTTCAGGCCTGCTGGAGACTACAGGGAGACCCTGTCTCAAGAAAACCCCCTCCCCCCAAAAAAGAATTATCAGCTGAAATATCAAGGATGAACAAGGAACTAGGGACTAGCAACAACTACAACTGGACTCGAAGAAGAGACCATCAGGAATCCTGGAGTGAAAAATAAAATTATTGAAATAAGAAATTCAGCAGGAGGCTTAAGCAGTAGAATAAATACAGACGAAAGAGAATTACTGAAGAAATTCCTACAACATGGCAAATACATAAAAACACTAAAGGAAGGCTGAAGCCAAACAAATGATAATTACCATTCCACAGATAATAAAACAAATAATGGGTGGGAAATTTCCTAAACTGATCAAAGACACAAATCCACAAATTTAGGAAGCCCAGCAGCCCAACCAAATTTGGAATACTATCAAAAATAGTCCTTTTATGCAAACATTACAGTGAAACTATAGCACACTTAATAGTCATTAAAAGAGGCCAAATTTGGGAGCTCTTATCTAATCCCTAAAAGACTTTAGGGTTATGTCTTCAGAGGGGGGAATGTTAGAGTAGGCAAAAGCCCCATTAAAAAAAGAAAGAAAGAAAGAGTACCTGGGGCTGGAGAAATGCCTCAACTGTTAAGAGCACTGACTGCTCTTGCAGAGGACCCAGGTTCGATTCCCAGCATCCACATGGCGGCTACAAACCGTCCTTAACTCCAGTTCCAGGGGAATCTGAAGCCCTCCTCTGACCTCCGCGGCATTGCACAACACGGGTGCACTCACATACATGCAGGCAACACACTCATACACATAAAATTAAAATAATAAAATATTTTTTAAAAAACATAAAGAAAGAAAGAGTATGTAAAGTTGTTCAGGAAAAAAGTGATGGGGAGATATGAGAGGAGTTGGAGGGGAGGGAGTGGGCATGGATTTGATTAAAACACCTTATACACATATATGAAATTCTCAATAAAATTTTTTTAAAGTTAAAAAAAAGAAGCCAAAAAAAAAAAGACAAAAGAAAAAGATAAGATACAGGCCCCAAGACTACCCTCAGGGTCCATAATTTGCTACAAGGACTCAAAGAATTCAGGAAAATTGTTATGGGACCAGTTATGATGGTGTATGCCCTTAAGCACTGAAGAGACTTAGGCAGGAGGATCTCAAGTTTAATGTCAGCCTGGGCTACATAGTAAGATCCTGTTTCTTTTAAAAAGGAAGAAAAAGGTATGATGGTGTACATCTTTGATCTCAGCACTTGGGAGGCAGAAGCAGGCAGATCTCTGTGAGTTCAAGGCCAGCCTGGTCTACACAGCAAGTTCCAGGTCAGCTGGGACTACAGGGAAACCCTGTCTCAAAAAGAACCCCTCCCAAAAAAAGGAAGAAAAAGAATGATCTCTCTCTCTCTCTCTCTCGCTATTTCACTATATATGTATGTATGTATGTATGTATATGAAATAAAACACTATAAACAACTCCTATTGTATTAATTGAAGACTCTATAAAATGTGCCATGCTCCAAAGAACTTGTATCTTTGGTTACAATTTTTCCCACAAAAACAAAACAAACAAACAAAAAACAATGCCTGGAGGATCAATTTTTAATAAAAATTCAAGTAATAGATAATTTTGATATTATATACATTCCTAACTCCATTCTATGAGTTGATATCCTTAATGTTAAAGTCATATGAAATCCACTGTGAATAATCACTTAGAAACATACAGAACTTGGGAGGAAGAGGCAGGCAGATCTCTGTGAGTTCAAGGCCAGCCTGGTCTGCATTCCTTTACTCCCAGAACTGGGGCTACAAAAGAACCAAAAGGAGAGGTCTGGTCCATTTTCTTATGAAGAAGCAACAATTACTTGATGAATCTGACACTTTCTCCAAGCTCTCCCATCACCATCTCTCTCTCCTCCTCCTTACAATGTGTTTGGAAAATATGCTACAGAGGTGACTAATTTTTTTTGTCTTTTTGAGATAGGATTTCTCTGTAGCCCCAGCTGGCCTGGAACTTACTATGGAGACTAGGCTGGCCTCGAACTTGGAGAGATTCCCCTGCCTCTTCCTTTCCAGTGCTGGGATTAAAGGCGTGCACCACCAGGCCTGGCTGAGGTGACTAATTTTCAAAGGAAAAATCCAGTAAAAATGTACAGAATGCCAAATTATATATATATAAAATGAAGTACCAAAGATTCTATCCAGACCAATGAGACACAATTCACATGAAAGAAGCAAGTGTGCCACTATTCACAGATGCTATGACTATCTACATAGAAAGTCCAAAAGAATATTCAGACATCTACTCACTGTAACAAGATTCAACAGGGGTATATACACAAGTGAGTACAAATCAATTATACCTTTATGCCATCAAAAAAATTAGAAAGTATAATTTATAAAGTGGAATGACTTCAAAAACACCAGAAAATATAGAATAAGAATACATGTAACAAAAATGCAAGATTATTCTTGGATAGAATGAGAGAACTCTATTGAGAAACACTAAACAACACCTACATAAATGAGGATATATGCCATGTCCTTGGAGTAATTTATGCTAGTTTTGAAAAATAAAAATAAAAATTGATGAATACTGACACACATCAAGATAATAGCTGCTTATTTGAAAGGATGAACTGAATCATGGTTGGAAGAACTTTAGAGGGTTATTTTGTTTTATTTTATTTTACTATTCTTATTTTATGTGTATGAGTATAGCCCACGTGTGTATGTGCGTATGTGCACCCATGTCGTGCAACGCCCAAGGAGATTGAAGAAGGCTTCAGATCCCCTGGAACTGGAGTTATGGACAGTTGTTAGTTGTCATGTGGGTTCTGGGAATCAAACCCAGGTCCTCTGCAAGAGCAGTCAGAGCTCTTAGCCATTGAGTCATCTCTCCAGTCCTTAGAGGGTTATTTGTAATGTCCTATTTTATAGTCTCAGTGGTAGGAACAAGGCTGTCAATTTACTTCTTATCTAAACCATGCATATTCTCTTTTGCATGAGCATTATTATATCATATGCACATAACACAATCAGATTCCCAGATCTGCTTTTCTACTTTGTGCAATAGTCCCTATCTATCTTAAACAAAAGACTGGAGGATTTTTCCAACAATGGTATAGAAAACTGTTCTAGTTTGATTTTCCATTGCAGTGACAGTTGGCCTGGGGCAAGCATGTGACTCAGGTAAGGCTAACAGGAATCCTTAACTAGCACTGAAATACATATACACAGCTGGGCGTGGTGGTGTATGCCTTTAGTCCCAGCACTTGGGAGGCCAAGGCAGGTGAATCTTTGTGAGTTCAAGGCCAGCCTGGTCTTCATAGTGACTTCCTGGTTAG